TTCGCATCCATCGCATAATCAACCTCACTTCGCCCGCATAATTTACCTCATCGCATCGCATAATCCTGGACACCCTAGGTAGGGTGTCCAGGATTATGCAAGATGCATCTCGATGCTTCACAAAAAGGGCATCAGGATCACGTGCGTGGATTGGATTGGCAGATAAGTGATTTGATGAACAAAAGATCACGTGAGTTACTAAAATCGCGTAACACATAACGATAATTCTGGGGATAGTGAACGGAAAATCAAAGTGTAACAAATAACGGTAACGATAAATGTTGTGTATAATTAATTACGTTGATGTTTGTTGTTGATCACGTTTAGGGAGATTTACAGAAACTTGTAAATCGATATTCTTTGATATGAATTGAGACGTCTAAACTAAAGGAGAATAGTAAAGGCAATAAGAATGTCTCTGGTAGGTCCACAAGTCCTGTTAGTTAAAAAAAGAAAAAACTACCCAACAACTCCGGTTAAAAATAGCTTTAGTAAATGCATACATAAGCTTTGGGTAAATGCATACATATATAGGCTCGGTAATATGCATACATAAATTCTAGAATATAACTGTACCGGACCGTGTTATTATGCATTTCTAGTTAAAGTTACCAAAGATTTCGCTAACAGCCAATTTTAGAACCAATTAATACGTATTAAAAATGGTTGCATATAATTTAATCAATAAAAATTTAATAACAAATTTAATAATTATAATTTTCTTCAAATCCGAGGCAGACATGTCGTTGTACACAAATGAGTTCATAAAAAATCTTTTCATCTTGCCTTACCTTGCCTCGTGTTAAGAATAATCTCTAGAGAATCCTCATAAGTTTGTTATACCATGATCATATTTACTACGGATCCTCATTTAAATTGTACCACTTTAATTTATTGGATATCTGTTTTGAGGAGACAATTTCTCTATGTATTAGAAACATAGACATCTTATTATTATTATTGATCGTTGCGCAAAAAGTATTTGTTTATTACCATCTGATTGTTTAATCGGATCTATTTTGCAGAAAAGGATGATACATTGATAATATCAATATCCCTAATAATATATACCCCTTGTAAACTTTACCCAAATAGAGCAGTGTCACAGTTTAAGCCGAGGCTATGTTTATTGTTATTAGTCAACCCAAGATAGACTTAGATATTCTACGCGCGTCAATTTTCTTGACTTCTGTGCATAAATTTTCAATAAACATTCCTAAACGTTTTTTCGGTTTTTTTTTTTTTTATATGCATCTTTTACAAATCTTTTACAAAAATCTTTTACAAGAACCAATTAATTTAATTATTCTCCGAATTCAATTTGAATTTTATCCTTATGCATTCTAAATTACTGTTACTCAGTTTTCTTCCTAACTTAGACTTATTGGTGTAAATGGTAACATTACAAATAAAATATTATTGGATTTAATTATGCGTAATATATGCATTTCTTACATTCGGCATATTGGCGTTGCTATTATTTTGACGATACTTACATACGTAGTCTCTTAGACAATATAATCTAGAGTAATCTTTATTTCATTTTAAATTTACTATCTTTAGATCAATGTATAACCATAACGATAATATTTCGATAATATTTATGTTTAAACTTTAATTTACCGGGAATTAAGTCAGCAAGAAAATGCCTTCTCTTTAGCGATATGTAATGTTATGTTATGCAAGCAGTACTTTTTTAATGTCTGACAAAGTGAAGCCAAAAATAAGAACCAATGTGTTTCTTTGTTTTTGTTATTTTATTGATTTGTTCAATGATGAATCTTCCAGATATTTAACATAAGTTGGTAAAATCGAGGTTGAACGTTTATGCAAAATCAAAAGAAAAATATGCACGCAATACATAGCGATGGCTCGTTGAGTTACCTGTTATGCATCTAAATTTATTAACAATCCTGTTTCAATGGTTCTTTTAAAATCACAAGTCCTAATTTTCCCTTAAAAAGGCAAAAAACGTCGGACTCGAAATGCACTGTATCTATATTGTAGTACCTTGTTTTTGATCAAAAAGGAACTTCTTACCAAGCAAAGATATGTGAAGGAATAAATTAAATTGGCAAATTGTTTTATTACTTACCTTGGCCATCAAATCGGATTCGAGATGTTACCATTGAAATTAATGCATCTTTAATTAACATTGTCAACAAATTCACTTGTGAATAATTGTTAATAGTATGTTAATAATTGTGAATAAAAAAAATAATAATACTTTGAAAAAAAAATCGTATCGTAAATAATGTTGAAAAGGTATAAATATCATGGAATTCTCCTCGTTATGCTTTGGCTTCATTAATCTCGATCCATTAAATTCCTAATCATCCCCTCCCTCCCTCCCTCTCTTTCTCTCCCTCACTCTCTTTCCGTTAATTCCCTCTTTAATTATTTTCCTTCCCTCCCTTCTGCCCGTTTACTTTCCCTAAAAAAAAAAAAAAAAAAATCTTGTCCTCAATACCGTCTAAATCATAAAAAGGATTGCTCATAAAGATGAGGTCCTTTACTTTACTCCTCATCATCATCAATACGATGATGATATTCGCCATCAGTAGTCAAGCAACCGAAGTCGAAAAACGTTATTCACAATCAGTTAGTCAAAGTCATTCAGAACATAAAGAACACAGTGAAAGTAGTTCAAGCTCTTATCATGTTAAACAAGATAGCAATGGAAAAAAACAAGTCGATGCCAAGAAAGAAAGCTCCTCACATGATTCCAGTAAAGTAAGCGATAAAGGAACTTACCAAGTTAAAGGTAAAGATGGCAAAGAAATCAAAGCCAGCTATGACCATAGTCAAAGCGACAGCAAAGATACATCCGATAAAAAGTCTTTACACATGAAGGAAGGCAATGGTAAAAAGGAATTCGATGCCAGCCATGAATATAGTGATAGCGAAAAGCATAGTAAAAAAGAAAATGACAGCTTTAAGTATAAAGATGGTAAGGGTAAAGAAGTAAATGCCAAACATAAATCAAGTGAAGAAGAAAGCCATAGTAAAGATGGTAAAGACTCTGTACACTATAAGAGTGGTCATGGTAAAGAAGAATTCGATGCCAAACACAAATATAGTCAAAGTGATAGCTCCAGTAAATCCGAAGATGACAGTTTACACTTAAAAGATGGTCATGGTAAAGAATTCGATGCCAAACATAAAGCTAGTGAAAAACATAGCTCCAAACAAAATGAAGATGACAGCGTACACTACAAGAAGGGTCATGGTAAAGAAGAATTCGATGCCAGCCATAAATATAGTAAATCCGAAAAACATAGTAAATCCGAAGATGACAGTTTACACTTCAAGAATGGTCACGGTAAAGAATTCGATGCCAAACACAAATCTAGTGAAAAACATAGTTCTCATGAAAGTGAAGACGACAGCGTACACTTCAAGAAAGGTCATGGTAACAAAGAATTCGATGCCAGCCATAAATATAGTAAATCCGAAAAACACAGTAAATCCGAAGATAACAGTTTCCACTTCAAGAGTGGTCATGGTAAAGAATTCGATGCCAAACATAAACATAGTGAAAGCCATAGCGAACACGAAAGCGAACATGATAGCTTCCACTTGAAGAACGGTCATGGTAATGGCGAATTCGACGGTGAACATAAACACAGTAAAAGCAGCAGCCATCATGAAGATCATGAAAGCAGTTTCCACTTGAAGAGTGGTGATTACGAATCTGATGGTCACTATAAATCTGGTAAACATGGTGAACATGGTGAAAGTCATGAAATTACCATTAAGAATGGTCATGGTTCTGACGGAAAACATGAAGAACACGGATGGGATGAAGAAAGTTCTGATGAACACGAAACTGTCAATGGCAAAGAAACTGTAAACAAACACGGATTTAAAAAACACGGATGGAACAAACACGGTAAAGGTAGCAAACAAGGTAAACACTGGTGGCACAAGAACTGGT